TTTCACTACCACCTCTCATAGTCTGAGAGAAAACACCTGCTGCTTCCATTTGTGATTCTGGCTTATGTTGGTAGGTATGGCGCTACCCACTTCCTGCAGATAGTTTGCTTGTATTCTTGTTTTTATGGCTCTATTGTGTAGGTCATTTATGCTATCGTATTTGTTTCCTAAAAACTTGGCACCATGTTGAAGGTGGGGTATTTTCCTGGACATAAGAGAGGATCCGGCCTTCCTGGCTTTTGCCTTGTGCAAGGGAGTTCATAAAGGAAGGAAGCCCTGCTAACTCTGGCCAGACACGCCAGAAGAAACCCTGTTTTCATTGTTAGCAAATCATTAACTAATAGTCATGCGCAGCAGTCATTGTGGCTGTTTGTAACTAGATCCCCAGATCCTCACAAATTACTCATTACAATGAAAAAAATCAAAACAACTTCCTTATTGCTTACCTCTGTTCTTGCGATAGGAGAGTAGATATGTCAGGTATGGGAAGTGTTTGGGGTTGACCGAGTGGCACGGAAGTACAGAACAAAGCTTATGCTGTTGCCTGGGAGGATTTCACGGAGCCTGTTATTACGAGGGGCTGCTGCCGCTTTCCATTTGCATCAGGACCATAACCGTCCATGCGGTTTTTGAGGCATAGCACAGGGTGTTTCTTTTCCTCCAGCCCCAGCAGGATCTGCGCCATGTCTCCTCCTGGTCCTGAAAGCTAATCGGTGTTCTTAATCAAAAGTATAACTTCCAGTGCCAGTTTGAAACAAGCCCAGGCAGACAACTGCAAGAGACTCATCTCTAGTTAACCAGAAAAAAACCTAGAAGTGGAGGAGTGGTTTAAGTAGTAGAGTGCCAGCCCTGAGTGAAAAAGCTACTCAAGAGCACAAGGTCCTAAGTCCAGCACCTAATACTGGTACAAAAAATGCTATCTTCTGTATCAGTGTGTCTATATCCTTTATAATTATTCTGTAGAACAAGGCTACTGTCAATGTACCCAAAGATAAAGTAAGTCTATACATAGAAACTTATCATACTTTTAGTGCTAGACTTGTTTTTCACATAGACATCTGAAGAAGGAACTTGCGAGTTCTCTGATTTTAATTTTGGATAAGATCAACAAGTCAGACTTCAATCTAGAGACAAAGAATCCTGAATACAGACCAGCGGTGGTGGTAAGTTAGGATGGAAGCATACTATACATGAAGTTACACCATGCTTACACATGTGCATAGGACATACAAGAATTTACAGATGTTTTACATTAACTAGGATGTGCACACTCTCCTCTGAAAATGCTACCCTGGTAGCCTTTAGCAATAAAAATGCTTACTCTTTCCACCTATCCACCAGAAAAGAGTGCTAAGAGGAGTAATAGAGTATCTAGATGCTGGAATTTATTTCGTGTTGGAGTTTGTCTCTTAGTTGTTTATGTTTCCCCCACTTGGGGAGGTGTGGTGCTGTCCTCGTGCCACAGAGAGAAGAAAATGTCATCTTCCGTGGTTTTCACATTTCCATCATACGATCAGAGTCCAAAGTTGTCTCCTGCCAGGGTTCCTTCCTTCACAAACAGAAGCCTTGCCAGCGGCTGCCTTGTGGAAGTTTAGCACTTTCAAGGCTGGAATGTCATGTGTGGAAATACTGAAAAAGCGTTCCTTGAGGCAGACATTTTTAAGAGCTCAAATATTTGAAAGTACGCGTTTGAACGGCTGCGTTTTCCCTGATATGTCAGCAGTGTTTCGCTCTTGTTGAGACAGGAGGGCCATCTTGCTCTTATTTCTATAATGAATTCACCTGGAAGCAAGGGACCTTGGTTTTCCAACTGTAAATTCCTGTCTCCAGCAGGGAGGTGGCTCCCAGCATACTCTACCCAGTTGCTTTTTTTTTGCCCACTGTGGCTCATGGTGCTGTTAGAAAAATGCCCAATCGCCTTAGACCTAGGGGAATAGATATTTCACCATAGTGAACAAAACTGCTAATGACTTATCACAGATGCTTAAACGATACTTTCTTTAATAGTCATTAGATTTCCCCCAGTGGAAAGGTGCTCACAGATCAAGGGATTTATATGGCAGTACATCTGCTTTTGAAACCTGCTGACAACCACCTTCTAGAAACGAGTGCTACCTCAGAGGTGATTTTCTGCTTTAGGAAAAAGGGGAGGTATGGAGTCACGAAAATGGAAAAATCATCGAGACCTGGGTCAGCCGAGTCCACACACTTATCTCCATTATTCCTCATTATCTGAAAAGCAGAGAAAACTTATTAATGAGATGTTTAGGGACTAAAGTTAGATTAATTTTTGCCCTACCCCCAGTGAATGGCTGCTACCATTGATTCATACCTTTATATAGTGGTCATTTTTCATGTTATCTATTGGGCATACTGGAAAGGCTCTTTGGAGATATCAGAACTTCCTTAATTTGGACAATGAAATAAAGAGAAATGAAGAGGAGATCCTGCAAAGATATGCTATAAGACAAGCATCGAATCTTAAAGTGTGTCTTTTCATGCCCTCTATTTCTGACATATTTTAGATGCTGTAGTTAGGAATAAGCACTGCTTTTCTTTAATTTCAGGTGTTTGCACATGCTATTCCTTTACCTAGAACACTCAACTACTGACTTTTCTGATGCATTCTTCAAGGCCAAACTATCACTATCACAGAAGCCTTAGTTCCTCCTCACTGGTGAAAAGCCCTTCTCCCATTCATTCTTGTAGCATTTATCATCACAGTAGCATAAAGTCACTGAGACTTCTGATACAGAAACTTCTTTCTCACTGGCACTACGTGTCTATGTTTTAATCCCTGACTTACGATCAACAGCTCCAAGCCTTACTGCTTATGAATGAGATAAGATATTAAAATGTGACACTTTCCATGTTTTTAAAATGCTGTTGAGAATAATGGGGAATATGGTATGAATATACCATGTCTAAAGAATCATTACTTCATTTTTACAGGACTTTGAGGGAGTTCCAAACAGGTACTAGTAGCTTTTGTAACTTGCCTGCCTGCAGGTTACATAAGATAATATATAAGAATTGTCTGGGAAGGATTTTAGCATGAAGTTGTGTTTTTTTTAGCATGATGTTCTTTAGATACAGTTATGAAATGCCTTCTATTAAGTTATGACATGGGAGATTTCAAAAAAGCAGCTAAGAGTTTGTCAAATACCCTTGAAATGTGAAGGAGAAACCAACTTGATTCACGCTTGGCAAAATCTAACAGTGAAAAGTCTGGAATTTCTCCAGAGAGCAAACCAAGAAGAGGAGCCTGTACTAAATTTCTACCACTAATCAAATAATATCATATGCACAAGGCCACGACTGCCATCCTATGAACCAGAGGGGCTAGCCAAGAGGCTAGCTTTCCTGGGCTGGCACACCCCTCCACCAGCCAGTCAGGAGCCACGCCAAAAGTGGGAGTTGTAGGTGTTAAACTAAGGAAGCATAGCTGTGTTCTCAGTCTACAGTGGGTTTCTATGGACAGACAGACACTGCTCTGAATGAAGGCATTCCACAAGGAAGGAAGACTGTCTTCCAAGATGTGTCTGACCACTTGACAACTCCCCCGCCCCAGGTGTCCTAGATAGGATTCATGAGAAAGCAAGCAAACAAATCTTGGTTTCTGTTATCATTCTTCACTAATGCAGATAGAAGTCTGAGGATAGGACAATGACTATACAAAATGCTCTGGAAATCATCTTGTGCTGCCAGAAAGTATGAGGAATGACAAACGATGATTCTCTTCCTTTGTGCCTCCTCCCGTTCCCAACTCCATACCCGCACAGTGCAGGGCACGTGACACAGAAGTCAACTGAAAACCAGCTCTCATTGGCTAGAGCTGGGACACTTTGAGCAGGAAAATAAGCAGTATTGGCTTATACCTCATAGTTTAACGTTGAATATCTTGAGTCCATTCAAATGCAACTAAATGATTCAATGAATAAGTAAATTGAGGGGTATAAATAAATCTCCATTCCAAAAAAAATCCCAAATAATTATGAAGCTACTCTGCGTCGTAGGATATAGAGCACATGACCCCATTAATTGAACACGGTCTTCACACAGTGCCGTCCTTCTGCACAGAGTATGGAAAGGGGGCAGGACAAGGGACTTTATGGAAAGAAAAGTTGATGGAAAGTGCCTCATCCTTATAATCAAGGTCAATGCCAGCAGTGATAAGTTGTACTGACAATACGTCTGCCCTGAGGTCATGTGGAGAAGATGACACCCGTCTCTGTGGACTTCGTCTGAATCCCAGTTTAATCACGAGAACACGTTAGAAGAATCTCAGTTGAGAGGCATTCTGCAAAACAACTGATCGGTCTTCTCCAAACATGTCCTCAAAAACTGGGAAAGAAATCGCTACAGGCAAGACTTGCCCAAGATATCTAAATGAAATCAAACATACTATGTGGGAAGACACTAAAGAAATCTTAAGTCTGAATGTCAGATAATACTAATGCGACAGTACTGCTCCATTGATCCTAAAATATGTAAACTATGTCCTATTAATTAATGTAGGATATTAGTCATAATAGAAACTGGATACAGGGTTACATGGCACACTGTTAACTATTTTAGCAATTTTTATGATTATCTAAGACTGAAATAAAATATAGCTTAAAATCATTGTAAGGAAAATAAAATAAATAAACTCAGTGCAGTGCTAGGATGGGCTGTGAGGTGAAAGGAGGCTTTCATCCCCACACGAGATGCGTTCCCATGTTGAGATTGAGCCATAGAATTATTTACTCTCAAATGACACAACCACAAAAGAGAAGGAGAGGGCCACACGACCCTTCTGAATTCCTGTTTGAAGGAAGAATAGGTTATCTAAATGAGTGGATTTTTGAAAGCTAATATTATTTCCTGTTTATCCTGTATGAACCCATTTTTTCAATAATCTAGTTAAGTGAACTACATGTTGGGTACCAGTACATTTATACCGCACACCATTAAATACCTCGATTGGTTGAGTGGGGCCTTGTGTGCTGTCCGTATATCCTACCCACCTTTCAGATACCATTCTTCTATGTTTGCACCCATGTCATTTGCTCAGGATACTGTGTCTGGAAATCTTCATAGATATTTGGTTTGAGGTGAGGAGATGGGAAAAGAAAGATGGATGGAAGGGACAGAAAGATCCTGCTTCTCCATGGGGGGTCCCTGGACTGACTTGATCTCTTACGGAAAACGAGGGAAGGTTCCAGAGAATGCTTCTCTTTGGGAGACTGTGTGGTGAGTGCTGAGGAGCTCAGGGCTAAGGTGGAGGGAGCGTCTATCACAGAGTTGGGACAAAGGCTGTTTCCATGGCTCTTTGAGGAATCTAGCTCTGCCTGGCCCTTGATGATTAGCTGCTTCACAAGCTAGCTTGACTCAGTGGGATAAGGGCATGTTGTGAACAGCTTCCCTTGGCAGAGGTGGAAGTCGGACTCCCTTTCCTTAGTAGGTCTGAGCAGCGGGAAACTCAGCAGGACTAATTTGTTGCCTAGGCAGAGAAGCTCTCAAAGTCTTGGTAATCATAGCCTAGAAGTAAATATGACCTCATTCAGAGTAAAAATCTGGCAAAGCTAGTAATACTGAAGAGACACATATTTTATTTGATGCTTACAAGTAAGAGGCATAGTTGTCTTATAATCCATTTTTCATGATAAGATAGGGCTTGGAGAAGTTCAGATTTCCTTAAGGTCATATAGCTGATAAATCAGAAACAAACGGGGACTCAATTCTACTAAGTTATTTTCTGTATTGTGTGTGTGAAACCCCAAATAAATAATCATCTTTGGCCATAAGGAATTGCAGCAGCAACAAACTGTGAGGCAAGCAAGAGGCTGAATACGTAATGTGTTGTGGGCATGGGCATAACATATGTGCTTATTTTTATGTCCTTATTTTAATCATTTTGGTTTTATTGAACATGTATGGAGAGACATGTTTGGGGGGAAGCTGTATCATCCCTCTTTTCAGTTAGCCTGGCTGTGTCCATTTTATGAGGTGTGACTTCATACACACCACATTTGCTATTAAAAGGAGTTTGCAGAGGATCCTTTCTCCTCGGAACTTATACTACATTCCTTATACATTAATTAAGCTGCTGGTAATAATTACCAGTGCCCTTTTCCTACGTTGCCTAACTCCACTCGACATAAATTTCAATTTGCATTTTTTCCTGCCCAGTGCCTCCCATATCCATGGGAAATTATTGCTTGAGCAAATTACTGAAAAGTTCTGTGGTCTCTTGGTTAGTTGGGGTTCGTTCCTCCCAGTTGAGTACAAACCTGGGCAGATCAAATGAAAATGCGTTCACTTCTTCCCCTTCTTGTCTGTCTTCATGGGTTTGCTTGACAGCTTTAATAAGTATGAAGTAATGCATTCTAGGTCCAGTCCCAGGTCTTTAAAAATTAATTTATAATTTGGTAACATCTGCCATTTCTCCACCTGCGAGCAGCCTGATTTCCTTTCCTCCGCGATGAGGATGTTTTGGCAGAAATTAGGGACCTGAGTGGAGAAGGAGCTCAAGACCACCAGGGCTTTTGCGGGAGAGCACAGTGGCGGCAGCAGGCGAAGGGCGTCTGGGAAGCAGTGCCTCGTGGGCAGTTTACACACGCACATTTCCACACGGAACTGTGGTCGCAGCTCTCCTCTCACAGGTTCCCCGCCCCTGAGCACGATTAATATTCTCTCATTTCAATATAATTGCAGAAGACAAAGAGTTTCTCATGGCAGCCATTATCTAGTTATTTGTGCCTAACATCTAGGACCTCAACCCCCACCCCTACAAATTCCAGATCTGTTTGTGACAATAAGACTCTGGAATATTCCCATATAAAGAACACTGCACCTGTAATGGACCTGCCATAGTAGAATACTTGTAACAGTTTATCTTTAGGCAGTTTTTCTCATCAGGAAAGAAGGTAGATGAATTTCCAGAAATAATTGCTCTGGTAGGACTGGAGCCTCTATGTATTTCTTAGTAAGCTAAGGCTTATGGAGAATTGCAGCCTATTGACCTTGATGATTCTTTGAAAGATAACATATCAATCAATAACCTATTAATCTGACAGTAAGTGGGGTAGTCTGTTTGCTTGTCCTTGATTTCCAATAGCACTAGGAAAGCTGGATCTGAGAGATAGCTCCTATGTAGAAATACTTGAGTGCTTTTCATTACACAGAGCTGAACTTGGGAAAAGTCCCTAAAGTTATTTGAGGGATATAAAATACGTCCTGATTTTTGTCCTCCCAGATTTCATATACTTTCTTTAAAGAGTGAAGCAGAACTATATTTTTCCCAAACCTGATGGATTTTTCTCTGCTCTCTTTTCTTTCGTCCTGTTCTTTAGAACTGAAATAATCACAGGCCATACCATTTTTCCGTTCCTTCAAGTGCATGGTCCAAAGTTATTTCAGATAGATTTCTTTCACAGATTTCACAGTGATGAAGCAACAGAAGAGTCCTGAATTTTTTTTGATCTGAGGATAAATCCTAAACATATTGTATAATTAGGAGATGTCTTGAACTTTGGCTAGACTCTGTATAATAACATAAACTTCCAAATAGCAATGTGTGTATCAGGACTGATGAAGCACGAAGCTGCACTCTGTAATCTTCTGCAGAAACTAAAATTGTGCCAGAGATGAATTAAATGATCTTGACCCAATTTATTTAGTATCGCTCATTCTCCCTTCCTTTCCCTTCCCCTCTCCCTTCTACCCATTCTCTCCTCCCTTTCCTTTTTCCTCTGGGGCTTAACTCTCTACTGCATAGTGGAACAGATCCAAGTTTTCTTAAATACTTCAAAATATTTCAGACATTTTTTTGGAGGGAGATGAAAGTAACAAGTTGATATTCTTCTAATGAAATTTTGTGCTCCATACCTGTTTCTGTCTTCTTTTGCTGCTGGAGCGTAAGTAGACAGTGCAAGTCCATTCTTCATGACTCACACTGGGTTCTGTTTCAGGTGTTGAATTAGCACCTGAATTTTCACCAGAGCTATCATAGCTATGAAATCTTTTAACTCTCAGTCTTCCCCAAATTAACTGCACCTCCTAATTGGAGATCCTTAATCAAGAAAAAATTTCCATTAGAATTATCTCTTCAGATGGTTGCTTAATATAGAAAGTAGCAGAAAAAAAGGGAAAAAAAGTCTTATGTTCCTGTTTCATGTTCAGGTTACTAATATTTGCTGAGCACAAATGATTGCCAGAAACTAAGCTTCTTATATTGTTTGACTCACAAAATCCTTGTACTGACCTACAATTTGATAAGCCCTTATTGCTTGTAGAGTATTAGGTAACACAGTTGGAGACTGCAGTGGTAGGAACTGAACCCACACATCTCATTCACTCTAACCTGTGAATGTGTCTGAACTACTTTATTAGCCACAGTGCTATCCTGACTAATGCTTGCAGTTGTCAACTACTGGACAGCTGGTTTCTTTTCATTTCACCTCCTCAGTGTCTTCTGAGGTCAACCTCCAGGTCTTCAAACACAGAAAAGTCGGTCCGGCGTTGGGAGTGCGAGTTTGTTCCTTGTGCATATTGGGATTCCAAAGAAACAAAACCAATAGAGTACCTTCCGTGATGTGGGTTGGATGCAACGGTCTCTGTCACCTCAGTTACCAGGTGGGATTCACCTGTGAATGTTACTTGTATTTACTTGGTTAGTTGAATATCCATTCCTTTTCCTACTTCCCTGGGCCGTGTAGACTTTGCTGTAGGTGATAAACTATTTAATTTTTTTTATTATTATCAAGTAGTTGTATAGAAAAGTTCCCGACCTACAAAACATCAGCTAATTTTTTAAATGAATGAAGGCAGCTATTTAATAGAATGTCTAATACAATGGATGTAGCACAATTGTAGTGTGTAAGGATGTGTGTGTGTGTGTTGACTTAGGTCATAGAGCATGTTTATAGTTTGGTTACAATAAGACACAAATTTTCTAGTAATTTAAAGTTGAAGGGACTATGATTTCTCTCTGAGAGCTAAAGTTTCCTCTGAAAGAGCATTGCTAAGGTAGAATAATTACTTTAAAAAGTTTGTAGACAAACACGGCCCACTCATAAGTGTACCCCAGTGTACCCTCTCACTGTAAAATTCATGTTGAGTTAATCACCTCTGGTGTCACCGAATGTGACTGTATTTGCAGATAAGACTTTAAAGGAGGTTGCTAATTAAAATGAGACCATTAGTGGGGGATCGCAATTCAGTTTGAATAATATCCTTCTAAGAAAAACCTTGGACACATAGAGATACCAGCAATTGAAGAAAGTGACAGATGATATGTTACTGAGACGGATTTGGCATGAATTGTTAAAGAGTAAAAGCAGTGGTCACATCATTGTGAATTGTAACCATAACTTGGTATGGATAGATAGATTACAAGTAGAGCATGAGTAAAAGAGTATTGTCTGAGAAATCAGTGGCTACATGGAATTGAATAGAATATTAAATATTTTCTTATCTGCAAATCATGTACTACTTTTTCATCTGTAGTTTTGATGTGTACTACTAAGCTCACACATTTGTATTCATCTGCCAGTTTCCTTATATATTTTTAAATACAATGCTTACAAGAAGCCTGCCCCTTGCAGCAGAAAATATAGCACATTCTATCAACGCTTGAATTGGGGATTGGGAGATTTCACAGCTAATTCTGTTATGGTTAAATTACTCCATATGTGTAAGCCTAAAATTCTGAACTTGGATTTATTTCCTCTGCAGTGGGTGTGGAGGGATGATGTGGCAGGTTGTCACGCCACCCCTTGATAGTGACCACAAGCTATGAGTGTTTAGTGTCTCTGTTAAGACACCAGACGGAGAGAGGAAGCGGAGGGGGGCGGAGGGGCAGGGAGGGAGATGAGAGACGGGTTGAATGGCCCTAAAAGTGACTTTGGTGCCATTCTCTTCTTCAATATATGACTAAATGGATTTCCTTTAAAGCTTTAGCATTTCTACTTTGTTATAATGATCTATAATTATCACCTTCTTTGTCAAAGCTTTCTGTCATCTTATGTTTTTGACATATTGTTCTCATTTGGAGACTCTCCAGTGAAGACAAGCAAGTGAAGGAAAACAATGGACAACCCTGTAGAAAGCC